TCAGATAAATCTAATGCCGTGAATGGATTTTCCTTTGTGCGATAGGAATCTCCCTGCTTCTCTTCATCCCTGAAATACTCTCTTCCCATCATACAGCATTTGCAAAGTTCAAGAAGAGCTCTAGAGGAGAGGAGGGGGAATTCCCCCTCCTTCTTTTGCTGACAGAATCCATTGCACTGATAGAAGAGGTTAATTGAATGCCACCCTCTCTAATGCAACTATGGCAGCAAAGTTCAGTTACTTCCAGATCCAAATAATAATCCCTCATAATCTTTGATAACCAAGCTGCAACACTGCACATCTCCACAATCAACTGAATTAAAATACACTGAGGCAGACAATGAATGTGCTTTGCAGTATATCTAAATCATCATGAACTAATATTGGCACTTTCATATTTATGTACTTTGTCACCTAGTGAGATGACGGTGTCATTTTTGTTTTAGGATTGATTTTTTTCTACTCATGTCAGTGATCATAATAAAAGTGTACAAAAAACTGTTTTCTTATGACTAATAAAAATTTAATTAGCATAATGCTCTGCAGCGTAAATTGCTGACCACCAGAAAATTAGGATAACTCTTTGAAAAGTGAGATCATAGTGATGGGGGAAAATTCCATTACTTTTCAATTTCCAAATGCTTCCCTTCATTCTCCTCCACTCTCTCTCTCTCAGAGACCCTAAATACCATCATTTTCAATTTTGCTCAGTTTCTGTTTTCATCTTTAACTTCCTTTCTTCGCCTTTCTGCATAAGTGTGCTTCTAAGGGAAAAAGAAATCCTCTTCACATTATCAAATGCATATTCTTTTAATGCAGTTGATGCATTTTGAATCTATTTTTCTTTCTGTATTTCCATATGATAATTAGTTTTTATCTTATTTATTTATTTTATTGGATTTCTCTGCTGCCCATCTCCCCCACAATAGGGGACTCTGGGTGACTTAGAAAAAACATTATTAATATGCATCATATAACCATATATTACCAACCTTCTGCTGAGAGAGAACGTGCCCTTCATATTTTGCCTTCAATTATCTCAGGGTAGCCAACATTCTTGTTTGTTACATTGTGCAATGGGATCCACCCTGGATACATGCTTTCCTCTGACATCATGTTGCCTATATAAAGGCTCTGATATCTTCTCTATAGAATTTTAGTCAACCATGTGAGCCTATGCAAACCGACTAAAATTTACCCTAGAGATATTCAGTCTGTGACTGTACCCTGTGAACACCAGTGGCTTATTTTGGTTTTCTGGGTGGTGGGGGTGGTGAAAAGTTTGGATAAATGCTGTATAGATGTGAAAATATACATTGTATGCAACACCCACCCACTGGACAGAAGCATACCTCATAATTCTGCAAAATAATGATAGTATGTGTAACAGCTTTTCTCCTTCCTAACGCATTTCTGATCTTTCTTTCTTCTCTTGTGCTTCTTCTCATATCCCTCCTCTCTATCTACTCTTTTCCTTAATTTTCTGGGTTTTTTCTCCTTCCAATATTCATAGTCTTATCAGAGCTGCCATTAAACATCAATGTTATAGCTGTTTCCTCCTCTCTTTGCAAACCCTTTCAAAGATAATCTGTTTATGTGCAGTATCAGCTAAAAGCAAAGGGAATCTCTGCAGGCCAATCATTTGTGTCGTAATGCTCTGTCTTCTTCCTGCAGGATGGCAGGAAAGACTGTGTGTTTTTCTTTATCCTGGGCACCAAACCTTATAATATGGTTGCTTGGAGACCTGGTTACTAAAAGCTTGTACTTCTGCTTATCATTCACGAAAATTATTCTTGTGGACCTATTGAATTGTCATTACTTGTTTCTCAAAAAAGCCCAACCCCAAATGAAGCAGAACATTTCAGAGTGCAAAGTAGATTAATCAGAGGTTTCTGAATGTACTGTGACTGTCAAAAGAACTAATGACCATTAAACACAATGAGTGCTGTTTAAGCATTCCAATAAACTGATAAGGAGTTCTAAGGAATTAATAGAGGGTAAAATTGATTCCTAGACCAAGGTTAGTGGTATTTAGAAATTGGAACAGTAGGCACGTCTAGGATTGCCAAGTAACCTATTACGGGAATATTTGGACACCGGAGCCTACATTTCTCATGTTGGTAGCTTCAATTGGATGAAGATGTTGAATGAGAAGCCAGTTTGGTGTGGTGATTAAGGCACCAGACTAGAAACTGGGAGACCCTGACTTCTAGTCCTGCCTTAGGTACAAAACCAGCTGGGTGACCTTGGGCCAGATCCTCTCTCAGCCATAAGAAGGAGGCCAGGGCACACCACTTCCAAAAAACCTTTCCGAGAACTGCAGAGGCTTGTCCAGGCAGTCTCCAGGAGTTAAAAACTGACTTGAAGGCACGCATGCAGACTGAAGAAGCAGGGTCTGGTACAGGGACCATAGTAGTGTTGAAGTAGGACCAGGCACACACATATTCAAGTCCATCCTCAGACATGGAGTCTCGCTGGGTGACTTTGGAAAATCATGTTCTTACTTCCTGTCAGCCTTCCCAGGTAGACCAGACAAGAACCACGATCATATGAGCTAATTCTACTTTATCGGAAGGCTACATTAACAAAATCTTGCAAGTCTGAAAGTACAAATCTCCCGCTGTCTCTTTTACTACCTCATAAGTTAGGGAGGTTTCTTTCTCTCCCTGTTATGCAGCTGTGGGCTATGCCCCCTCTTATCCAATCATTCCCTAGGCAGCAACTCTTCCCCCCATCTCCCAAGGTCATTCCCACATACCTTTACACTACCCAAACTACCTTACAAGGTTTTTGTTCTAAGGAAAATAGGAGAAATGGTGTGCCATGTATATCATGTTATGTTGGTGGAAGAAAGGCAGGCTATATATTTCACATATGAATAAGATTAAATTATATTAGGGAAAAGGAATCGGCTGGTTTAGATGAAATAAGCCATCATTCAAATTATTTGCAATACTGACACACAGACACATACACAAACACATTCTAAGAAAATTTATTAAATAACTTGAACAACTAAAATAATTAGAATGTAATGCACACATATAATGTAAGAAAATCAGGCCCCATACATAATTTATTATTTAAATTAAATTCAATGTTTGAATTGATTGCCATTTTCATCTAAACACTTCCTTACTTGTTTGACACATGACCTTTGAACTTTCCTAAGCACAGTAACATCTTCTCTGAAAAAAAAAACAATTTATCGATAAAACATATTGTGATTGGCTTATTTGGCCTGACTTTGTGGTATATCTATATCTATATAGATTTTATAGATATCTATATCTATGAAATACAGATATAATATTACATAATATTATGTAAGCTGGAACTTATACAGTACTGTTCCGGATTACATACAAATTCAACTTAAGGACAGATCTTGGGAACAGAACTAGTTCTTAAACTGGGGACTACCTTTATAAGGCATGCCTTTGTAACACTATTTATCATCTATTTCACTGTCCATGCGCTGGGCACTGAACAGAATGCAGAACTGCCACATTCTCTGCTCTTGGGTTGTACCTGGTGTTGTTCTTCTATTCCTGGCAGGTTCTTCAAGAAAGGCCTCCATGAATGGAAGCAGGAAAGATGCCATTTTTAAAATCCTCTTTGTCTCCTCTAGTGTCCATGCTTTTTCCATGGTGTTTCACAGGGCTCCCCAACTGGAAGCTAGTTTAAGGAGAAGTGGAAGAGGCTGCAGAGAAATCAGCAATAGAAGGGTCCCCCTTTTCCCTTCTATTCATAAAAGCTTCTGATAAATGGAAGAACTGGATGCAAGTCTTTGGGTTTGGGAAGCTAAGATGTATTTGCACATCTTTATATTTGTAATTAATTACCCCTTCGTATCTGCATGGCATCACCTGATGTTGCAGTCATCAAGTGATGGCAGGACATTTATGAACCAGACCTGAAGAACATAGAAAGAAAAGTGGAAAGAGCAGAATATGAAAATATTGGTTAACAGGAAATATGACCATAGAAAGCACAAAAGTGAGATTTCAAGAAAATAAAGTTCCTACTGAATAATGAAACAAAACTGATCCAACTTGAAAACTAGAGCATCTTTCATAAAAAGCAGCCTTGTGAATGCATCTTCTGTCTTAGGCAACAGGGTGTCTTGGCCCACTACTAAAAATAAAACAAATAATAATAAAAAAATACAGTAAACTCTTCAGCTGGGTAGATTTTCTCATATGTATACGTTGCTAATGCTCAAAGGTTTGTATGAACCAGGGACATCTGCAAGGAAGTAAAAAAAATTAAGATGGTACCCATGATTGTATGATTGAAGCTGCCATGTTGACATCCATCCCCCCACCCCCGCCGCCCCCAGACATCCCTGATGTGAGTATTCCAGCAATTTAAGCTGAGGAAAGCAAAGCAAAATTCATCCTCCAAGATAGGATTGGGCTACTTTTTGGGAGGGTCAAGGCCGCTATTTTTTTTGCTGTGGTTTTGTTGTTATTAATATTTTTAGCCTTTGAGAGCTGCAGAAAGTATGGTGATGATGTAGTTACACTATGTCATTGGAATGGGTTACACAATTTTTCTTCATCCTTTTTAAAATGTCTATACACAAAATAGGTATATTAAGTTTCCCAGTCTGAGATTTTTGTATTTGTGTTAAGACTCAACAAATTTTTGCCTCTGGATTTCAGCAGTGCAATGCTTGGGAAATATGAGAAGACCACTACACAGGATATTGGTTGCTTATCCCTGTCTACAATCTTTAAAATAAAATATTATGGAGCTTCATAAATTGTCTAAGACTTTTGCCACAGTGATTTCATAAATTTGTGCCCAATAGGGGCCCATCGGACTTACACAATTACAGGTTATGGGAGAATCATAATAAAAACAGTGCAAATAGGAACAACACTGCTAAGTGGAGGAGTCATTTGCCAAGCAGGATAATGATGATTTATAAGCCATAATAATAATAATTGTTGTATAATGCAAAATTTCAAACTGTTGCCTTTTTTTAAATTTAGATTGTAACAGTATTAGCAAATCTGTCTGTCCTGGACCAATGTGCTTCAGAAATAATCCAACAAAATGGTATGTATGTTTTGACAAATGCATAATAGATTTATGCATGTGAAAACAAAATTGGAATAGTACCCTTCAGCTATACAGCATGGTGATTAATTTAACACTGTACATCAGGATAAAATGGCCATTACTGGAGAAAATCTCTGAATTCTTACCCAAAATTTGCGCGGGTTCAAGTTCATGTCATTTTTTTCTCCGAAATACCTGCAGACAGGACCCCGCTATTTCAAAAGCATGTTTTTTTTTCTATTTTAAATGTGGAATGTTGATATTGTTACACCTCTGTGTCTTGGGAAATGCCATGAATATTTTTGCCTGTAGTCTCTAGATAAGTGCAAAATGAAATAGCTGGTTAATATTTTGTTTGGGATTCGGTTTTGTGGGAGATTATCTTTTCATCTCTGTGAAGATTTTGTGGGCACAGACTAAGCATTTCAGGGGACAAATGATACAATCATAAAGAAGATTCATTTTTAGAAACTCATGTATGAGTCTCTGAAAGCCAGCCCAAATACAAGGATTATTCTAAGGGCCTTTCCTAGTTTGTACTTAACTGCAGCATGGATATAACCTGACAACCTCTTTTTTTTCTGTCTTTCTCACCATGACGTTGCTTTCTTCTTGACCCCAACCAATACCTGAAGCAGCTGGTATCTCCTTAGCTGTTCCAGTTAGTTTCCCCCCTAAAACAGCCAACCAGCCAGCACAATTTCCCCACTGCAGTTATACTATCTGATGGGCTTCTTTGACCATTTTGTTGGTGGTCCTGTCAGATGGGATCAGTCCAGTATCTACTGATCACTTTAGCCTGGTATGGGCACACTTGTTCCCCTCAATCCCTGAGTACGATCATCCTGGGCCATGCAGCTTCAGGCAGTGGGAGAGACTGGTTCTTTCAAACCAATCGTGCCCCTGTACCCACTCAGCCCCTGATTTGAGCTATCCCAGATCAGCCCAAAATAGCAGCTGACCATCAAGGGCAGGAGGGAGGATGCCAGTGAAGAAACAGAGAGGGAGCCATCTCTCTTTCTCCACTGCTTCACTGCAAAATTCCTCACACACTGTTGCTCAAGCTGCTTTTGAATATGGACTTAGCATTCTTTTTGAGGCTTCAGTGCAGTCCTAAACTCATGTTCAAAAGCAGCTCTGACAACGGTTGACTGTCTGTGGTTGTTGTGTGCTGAAATGGCAAAGAGAGAACCAGTTTGCTGTTGTTTGGGCTGTCAGCAACTGGGGCTAATCCAGGTTTATTCCAGGTCTCCCCTTTGCCTATCTTCTCTTCTAGCCTAGGCAGCTGATCTTGTGGCTGGGAGAAGTGGCTGGCAAAGGAGGGGATGAGTTCTGAAAATATACACCTGCAATTCTAGCCATTTGTCAGAACTGTCATCAATGCGATTGGTGGATGGTTTTCCCTCTGGCTGGTGACATGATGGGTGGGGGGTCATCCTTTCCTAAATGGGAAATGAGGATGCTGTTCGCATGCTGCAAGCCAGAGCTGACAATTGGCAATAGGAACAGCTAAATCTGTGCTGGTTCAGTTAGTTTTATTTATTTATTTATTATTTTGTTTTATCAAATTTCTCCCCCGCCCATCTCCCCGCAATGGGGGACTCTGGGCGACTTACAAAAAACATTAAAACCATAAATATATATAAAATACA